ATTCCCGTTTCAGCCATGAATCGCATTTTAAATAATAATAATAATAGTAATAATATATAAATAACTAAGTATTGCCCAGGAACCATTGGACGAGCCATGTTAAAGCTGCTAATAATAGCGCATCACTTCTCACACAGTACATACGCTCACTCACTCTCGTCACCGCGACATGTCGCAAACGATCATATCGGGTCGGATATACGCGTGTGGCAGGCCGGTGTTGTAGCGACGGCGACCTGGCTTCACAATAACGCGCTCTAACCGGTGACAACTGGGGCGCCGGGCAGCGACGGGTATTACCTATCCCGTGAGGGTGTTGCCGCGCGACTGCAGCGATCGCAGCCGGGCGAATCGAGCGATATTGCACACAGGTAAGTTACGACAGCAGCTCGCGGGCGTGCTATGACATATAATGCGCTCACCGCAACACGACACTGTACTGTAAGCAGCGCCGACGCACGGACACAACATCGCCGCTCTCCTACATAAGCAGCCATCATTCGCCGCTTCCACGTGTCACGCGCTTACACCGAGGTACTGCAGTATACAGACACGCAATATCAACTATACAAGCGCCGTGGCGACTACAGGCTCCAAAACCGCTCCCCGTCGAGTAGAGCGGCTGAGATTACTGCGCAATTACACAGACATCCAACAATTCGTGAACACACAAACAAACGCCGCATTACTGCTCACAGCGTTATAACACCGCTCGCAGCACGACGTACCCTTTACTGCTGGCACACAGGTGTCGTATACCTGGAGGCGACAGCGCACACACCGCGGAATTCTCTCGGCCAGCGTTTCAATCGACATTAGCGTGACGAACGATTACGTACGTCGACAGCCAACGACGCAGCGCGAGCAGCGCCCCTACCTCGTCGCACGAGCGATGACAGCCGACGTCGATTAACGTGCATGGGGAGGCGGACAAGACGAAAAGAGGACGGGGTATGGTGAGGAAGGATGGGAAAGATTACCGGGGTGGGGCGGGACAAGACGGAAGAGACGGGGTATGGTGGGACGAGGGGGAGGATTACCAGGGTGGGCGGGGCAGGCGGAAGAGACGGGTATATGGTGGGAGGGGTAGGGAAGATTACCGGGGAGGCGGGACAAGGCGCGAAAGGCGGGGTATGTGGGAGGGGTGTGGGAAGATTAGCGGGTGGTGGCGCGGGCAGGGCCGGCAAGAGACGGGGTATGGTGGGAGAAGGGGGGAGGTTACCGGGTGGGCGGGGCAGGGCGGAAGAGACGGGTATGGTGGGAGGGGTAGGGAAGATTACGGGGGGAAGGCGGGACAAGGCGGAAGAAGACGGGGTATTGGTGGAGGGGTGGGGAAGATTACCGGGGTGGGCGGGGCAGGGCGGAAGAGACGGGGTATGGTGGGAGGGGTGGGGAAGATTACCGGGGGAGGCGGGCAGGGCGGAAGAGACGGGGTATCGGTGGGAGGGGTGGGGAAGATTACCGGGGTGGGCGGGGCAGGGTGGTATTAGGACGGGGAAGAGGAGGACGGAAGAAGATCCGGCCTCGGAACAAGCGGAGAAAAAAATAAATAAAACACAACATGACCCTAGCGCCGGTTCAGCAAAACACTTCAGCAAACAACACCGAGAAAAAAGCTCCACCGCAACCGCGTAGAAAAAACATAGTACGTACGTAGTACAACGTAGGAAAGTACACCCCCTCTAGTAGCTGTGGGTAGGACCCCCACCCCACACACAGGCGTTACTCAACATAGGAAGGCGAGCGGGCGAAGGGCTGGATGAGCGTTGCACAACACGACATACCATATCCCTGACACAGACCATGCAGCTAACGTCGCGTTACAGATCACCCTCAGCCTAGCAAACAACTACACCATCAGCCTAGCAAACAACTACACCCGTACCCTAGCAAACAACTACACCCTCAGCCTAGCACACAACTACACCATCAGCCTAGCAAACAACTACACCTCACCCTAGCAAACAACACACCCTCAGCCTAGCAAACAACTACCCCCTCAGCCTAGCAAACAACTACACACATCAGCCTAGCAAAACAACACTCCCCCTCAGCCTAGCAAACAACTACACCATCAGCCTAGCAAACAATTACACCCTCAGCCTAGCAAACAACTACCCCCTCAGTCTAGCAATCAAACATATTAGCCCTCAGCCTAGCAAACAACTACACCCTCAGCCTAGCAAAACTAACTACACCCTCACCTAGCAACAACTATACCCTCAGCAGCAAACAATTACACCCTTAGCCTAGCAAACAATTACACCCTCAGCCTAGCAAACAACTTCCCCCTCAGTCTAGCAAACAACTACACCATCAGTCTAGCAA